TCCACCTTAGGTCCCGATGTGCCGGCTGCGGATGCTGGTGGCTCCTTTCTACTATTGTTCCCCGGCGGTGATCCTTCCTGTTGTGGTGGAGGTGGGGGTTGTTGTCCAGGTCCTGGTCCCTGACCCGGTCCTTGGCCTACTTTCCCGGATTCTCCGCCTGAACCTGCTGCAGGTGCTGATGGTGATGCTGACTTGTCCGCATCCTCTGATCCTGCTCCTGCAGGTCTCTCCGGTCCTTCATCACCTTTATTTCCCTTTGGTCCGGCAGGCCCTGCTCGTCCCCCCCCTGTGCCCTGAAGTCCCGTGGATCCTTGATCACTCTTCTTGTCCTTCGTTGGTGTCTTCTCTACAAAAAGGAGAAATATGGTAGAAAGATGATACAAAAAAACGACACAAGTGGTACAGAAAGAAGGGGGCCGGAACGGTTGGGTCACGTACCGGCCGTGTCGACTCGCTGGACTTCGTACTCGGTGAACTTGGGCTAGATGGTAGCAGTACAATTTTATTTGTCGCCGTTATCTCGTCACCGGTGGCTCGTCACCGCTACCTCTGCCGGCGCTACACAGTCGTCGCCGCTCCACACTCTTCTACACGGGGGCCGCCGCTCGCTCGGCTCAACGAGGGGGTGGCGTTGCGCCGCGTGTGCGTGGTGGCCGTCCATCCATATTCGGCTGTAACGGTGGCGGTAGTGTCCGTGCCGGCCTTGTTAGTATTCGCCGTATACGTATTTGGCTGTCACGGTGCCGGCCGTGTTAGTATGCGGCCGTATGTTGTTGTTCGACCGCATTCGTGTGCGTATTGTGCGTGTTCTTGTTGCCCCGTATGAGTAGCACTCTGTTGCTTTACTCTTCTTACCATTCGCGTCCTCTTCTGCATCCTCATCATGGTCGTCGTCTTCTTCGTCATCATCCTCATCATCATCATCGTCGTCCTCATCATCGTCGTCGTCGTCGGTATCATCTGCGGCAGACGGTACATTCATAGTTGCTCCGCTTCCGCTGGCCTTCGTCTTGTGTTCCCTGAGTTCCTCCTTGAATTTGTCCCCTGCGTTTGCAATTGTGGTGAAAACATTTTTTACTACGTCTGTCCAGTGGCCCTCTATGTGTACCCCTTGCGTAACCTGTTCCTTCTTCGGATCCTCATCGTCCATTGCGTCCCCTATTCGCATGTTTTTGTTCCACCTTCTTTTACAAGCGTTGTGTTCCCGTAGCTGTTCAAGTTGTTGTGCTACTGTGGGATTGTTCCTCAACCATTCCTTAACTGCCCCCTTTAGGTCTCCTTTTCCTATATTCGTATCCCCATACTGGTTCCTCTTGCATGTGCCTCCTGAGGTTCTTTCGTCGAACCCCCCAGGCATCTTCATTTTATCTATGATTTTCCATGCGTACCTTATGCCCTTGGAGTCTCCACACGTGGATTCACTTAGTAGTCTCTCGAAAACATGCACCAATATGCACTTCATAATTCCTTCAAAATGGTCGTCATTCTGGTGTCGCCGTTCTGCCCCTGTTCCTGCTGCCCCGTGCCAATCCATCATGAAATATAATGCGCCTACCATCAGTCGGCACTTCAGTACGTCGCCTACGGTATGTCCCATATACTTGGCGGTGTCGTTTTCCTTATAATCCCATCCCATGTTCTCGCAGCTCTTAGCCAATGCGTCCAATATGTGCCTGGTGCGTTCTATATGCCGCACGAAGTCCCGTAACACAGTTTCCATGTCCTTCCACAGAATTTCCTGCAGCGTACATAGTGAAGGAATAAAATACACACACACATAGTATACTCCTAATGTTTACCATTGTGTCCCACATTCATTACATTAATATCCTTAAAATTCATACAAACTGCTGCTGCCAGGGGTGCGTTTACTAATGGAATGACGTACATCGAAGTGCTTCTGGTTCCATAGTCCCCTCTTTGTGGCCCAGTATGCAAGAACGTCGGTAACAAATTTTTCCATGGTAGTATGATGTATGTGTTATTATTTCTTCATTAAAAATATAGAACATGCAGACAGAAAAATATGCGTGCTCACTTGCATCGTACACATAGGTGCCGTAGGCATACGAACATGTAACTCATTGGAAGTACATTCTGTCATTGACAGGAATGAATAATAAGGCTTCACGTATATGTAGAGTCGAGGTAACTCTGCATGTGATATAAATAAATCCAAAGATAAATGTCGGACTAATTTTACATAAAACATTGTACATAATTATTTCTAACACTTGTTGTATGAGAACTGCACTCTATAGTGTATACCGAGAAAAAGCTGTAGCAGATGGAACACGCTGCCGTCTGAGTTTCATCACACGGGCACCTAAAAAACAATTCCTAACAATACTATCGACCATTGGAGTTGCCCCTCAGGAATTAGTGCACAATGAGGCAGACAAGGTTCCGTATGGTGTAGTGTAGAAGTGGCGTTACGTCCGTTCGCCTGTATGTATCCTCTATCTCACTCTTATGCGGTTACTATGTGATACATAAATTAAAGTAAAAAAAAGGAAAGGGACACGCCGCCTAAGAAAAGGGAAAAAACAAAACAAAATGAATCAAGTACAGGAAAAACAATATTGGCAAAACAGAAACTATATATATATATGCTCTTCCGTGCCGCGCTGCATAAGTTCTGTGTAGGAGTTCTCTGTACTTATATTAAAAGAATAAACATAAAAGAACAACCATAAAAAAAAATGCAAAACCAGAGGCAAAACAAGAGAACAACATATGCTTACAAATGCATAACAGCATGCTCTACACAATAGTCAGAAGACGCGCTCGCTTCCACAGATGAACAATCTCCCCAAGCAAAGTACCAAAACGGAAAAAAGAATAGAAAGGAAAAAATAGGAAAAGTACACTACACACAACGCGTCATGAATACCCCCGCCCCCGTTTCTACACCGGTCTCCACTAAACGCCTGTCACACACACTGTCTCTGTGTGCGTACACTAAATCCCTTGTACACTAAAACCGCAGTAAGAACAACAACATCAAATGCTGCTGCCGTCCTTGCTACCGTCGTTGCTGCCGTCCTTGCCGTCGCTGCCGTCTCCGTCACACCCGTTCTCCGTCACACCCGTTCTCCGTCAGACGCGTTCTCCGTCAACGTCGTCTCCGTCAACGCTTGTCCGTCAACGCTTGTCCGTTACACCGTCTGCGTGAACGTGTGTCGCGTCAAGGCTTGTGCGTGTGGCTGCCGCCGTCTTGGTGCTGTCAAAGCAAGGGGGGAAAAAAGTACACTACACTACGTACTCCCTCACAACGCCATAACAAATAACTTCCTACCTAAGTCGTATCAACGCACATATTCTATATATATGTAACCTCTGCAACCCAGGCCCCATAGGTATATTAGTAGAGGGGGACAGCATAACAAGAAAGAAACAACAGCAAAGGCAAACAGAAGTAAACAGAAAACCCAAACGAAAAAAAAAACAAGAAGATATAGAATAATGTAAACCCGAAATGCATTATGTATATCACATAATGAAGTACAAGTGGTCTAATGTTAGCATGCGTTATGTCGCATGCATATGCCGCGTCCTCCTAATTTCAGAGCTTGTCCAGTAGTTCATCTACATATAACTCCTTCTGTTGCATACTACTCTCGACCTTGCATTCTTCTATGACTAATGCCAGGATCAGTATCCATGTTTGAGCGGTTAACGGTTTTTTCATGTACAGTTGCGGATGCAGTGGGTCGATGCATGGGTCGGCTGCATGGATCGAGATGGACTCGGTGAACTGCGTCAGGCGGCCGCAAGCGAACGGTGAGGTGGACTGCGTACTCGGTGACCTTGGACTAGATGGTAGCAGTACACTTATGTTTTCGCCGTCATCTCGTCGTCCGCTCGTCGTCGTCACCGCTACCGCTACCGATGACGTCGTGCTCGCCGCTCATCGCACAACCAAAGTGGGGCGGCTGCCTCATGGCCGCTGTGCTGCTCTTCCCCCGCATGTGCGTGTTGTGCCAGCCGTGTTTTGTTGTGGTGGCGGCATCCATATGCGACCGTATCGAGCCGTAATATTAGTATTCGTGGCGGTCGCATCGATCTGCCCTGGCTGTGCTGATGGTGTGGCCGACAGTTCTGTAGCTGCTGGTGGTGCAGGAGCGACCCGGGACGATTCCCACCTACCGTGATGTGTCGGTCCTGGTGGTGATGGCGACGTTGTCTGTACCGTACCTGTGCTGTCTTTCCGGATGTCACTGCGCGCGCTAACTTTCTCCTCAGCGGCCGTTATCTTGCCCATTATATCGGCGAATACTCCGTCCTGTTCGCTGTTTTCCGTTAATTGTTGCACTAGTTGCTTCTTCTTCTCCGGTTCCAAATCCTGCCCTTGTTCGACTAACTGCGTTAGTACTAGGTTATCCTGCTTGTTAAACATTCTAGCAGCCGGTATACTGCTCTCGCTTTGTATTCCTGGGTCCCTGCCCCGTGCCCCATGTTGTGGCCCTGCCTGACACATTCCTTGTGCTGTCCCTTCAATACTTCCTCCCCCAAACTTCAGTTTCCACCGTTGTATCCACCTTGCCATAGTGGCTGCAACAAACTTCGATCCAACCATTAGAGTCTCGTATCCCATTTCCTTGCAAAGTTTACTTCCGTCACTATGTGCACTCAACGCCCTGAGCATGTCCATGTGCGTGGCTACCGCTGCAATAATTTCCCCTGCGCTACAATTATTCTTAAACAATTCCGCCATAGCAATGTTCCCAACCATACACCGAACATAATCCTCAAAGTCCGCATCCTGCGGAAATATACGCAGCGTTTCCCATTTTCCCCCAGAATTATGTCTCCTATCCATAAATAAAAATATGTTTACAATACGCCGGCAGACCAGTAATTGCGCCCTGTTTTTCTTGAACGTCCAGTCTGGGTTTGCTGTTTCGCACACGGCGTCGCGGGAAGTATCCCTGCTGTTTATACTTGTGGCTAACACTTGGAACAGAGTGTGTATATCTATCCATAGTTTCTCCTGCGGATATACGAATATAATATGTTTATTACCACATATACCACTGTCGCCTATGATTCTCGCTCAGTTTTTATTTTCGAATGCATATACCCCTATATTCCGTTGTGTGACTCTAGCTCTTGCGCTGCCGCGCCCGCTGTCGCGCCATCTGCGCCCTTGTCTTACACTGTATTCTTGGTGCGTCCGCAGTTTTCTTCGTTCGAACCATTTCCTAAGGTGCTGTGTGAAATCCGCCACACCTGGCTGACTATTCGCCATGATACTGTAATTGCCAAATACCAATATTATATCTATATTGCGGACATCTCAAAATCACGCGATGGTCCTAATGCCTGCTGTATAGAATCAACGTGCCCGAGTCCTATGCTTTCCCTTGCAGAATATGATACTGTTGGAAATATTTTCTTTCACATAAATCTAGCGTAAACTTCGCTTTATCCTTGTTCCAAGTTATAACAACATAATCCATATGATAGAAAAAACAAAAAATACCAAAAAACAATTAGTGTGTCCGACGTCACCATCCCCCTTTCTCCCACCCTAATACACAGGTTTGGGTCGCACGTTCCTTTCTCAAAGTTCGCAGGATGCAGAGACTGGGTTCCGGGTTTAAGTTGTTTGGACCTAGAAGGGAAAGCGCAAGAAAAGAATGGGAAGAGAAGGAACAGAAGGAAAAAAGACTAGAAAAAACAAAAAGAAAAAGAGAGGAAAAAAACAAAGTACTACTACACTACCGTACACACAACGTCATGAATAACGCCCGCCGCCCCCTCTGCCGCCCTTTGTCCACTAAACGCCGTCACACGCTGTGTCTCTCTGTGCGTACACCTAAAACGAACAACAACAACATCAAATTCTTCTTCCGTCGTGGCTGCCGTCATCGCGTCACGACGTCTCCGTCAACGCTTCTCTGCGTCAACCCCTTCTCCGTCAACGCTGGGCTCCGTCAACGCCTCTTCCGCCAACGCCTGGTCCGTCAATGCTTCTCCGGCAACGCTTCCGGCACGCGGCTACTTCGTCGAATACCCCTTACTCGGCCACGTTTGCTCGCACACAATAGCCGTGCTTACTCGGCCGCTTTGGTCGACGCGTTTGCTCGGAGAGACAATCCTCCTCCTTTCGTACAATCCGCTACTTCGTCGAATCGTTGTTACACGCGGTTGCGTCGTCGTCGGGCGGCACCTGATGCAGGCCGCGTATCCCTAATTATCGTGTAGCCGTAATCGGGTGGCGATCCTCGTTGTAGATGCTCTAGAATTTCTTCGTCGAGTGGCGGTGACGGCACGTCACGAACGGTGCGAAACGTGCGTCGTCGTTTGGCGAGGTGCGCAAAGTACTAAGCAGAAAAAGGGGGGTAAAGAGAAGGGTGGGGACGGTAGGATACAAGGAATGAACGCGAGTGTAGGAGTATATTGGTTCGAACGATCATATATTGGAGCCGGTTGGGATGTTCTGAGGTATAAACATCCTGCACGTGCGGCATTCCCTGATTGCCGTGTATAATTACCTTCCAAAGGGAATAACCAAGAAGGGCGACGATAACGGAAGCGAGAAAAAACAGCACGGGAGTAGTGGCGGTAAGGACCATGCCGGTCAGGTCGGGGACAGCATAGTCACGTGGAGTCTCACCGGATGAACTGACTTCTCCATCTGCTGGAACCGGTGGTACGAATCCTCCTGTGGCACCTTCTATGTTGAGTGCAGGTGAAGCGAGGTCAAGTTCGAACTGCTTAGTGCCCCCCTGGGTAGTATTCCCTGTGTCCTGATCATTCTGATTACTGGAGCCAGAGGTTAACTGACTACCACCACCTCCACCACTACTACCTCCTCCACCACCACTACCACCT